ATTTCAAAACAATCCACTATATCACTATTCACTATCACTATTCATTACAAATTGAATGAATTAATAAGATTCAATTGAGACATGAATTGAATATTTTGATTGAAATTTTATTTGTTGTAATATAATTATAATTCATTATATTTGTTCATTAGTTTATTTTGTATAAAGAATTTAAAAATTATTCATATAAATTTTTAATAAAATATTTTTTTTATAAAGTATTTGTTTATTTAATTCTAAAACTAAATTATATTGTAATATAATCGAAATATATTTTGATAATATTATTGTAAAAAGTTGAGTTAATATAATTTATTATTTGATAAAATAATATAGCACAATTTTCAGTCCTTTTAATAATAAAATGTATTTATAAGTCACATTTTAACAAATACATTAACTATCTATCAATCACTTATAAGTACTTTAACCAAACACATAATTGTTTAAATTTCAAACGCTTATAATCTCAATTTACCTATAAACATTAGCTTCTTATAAGTTAATTTTCATAAATTCAATCAAATAGATTCTAGTCATGGGGACAAGAGACTAATTTTGCACCCTTTTCTTATTTGATATGAATACAATGTCAAATTCAAGCTTATAGCAAATCAGATATTAGATAAAATGGTATCTCTCAGCAGTAACTATATGTGGAATGATTTATCATTAAAACAATGAACACAGACCACTGAAGGACTTTCGATCGAAGAGAAATTAACTTGCCAGACAATGTGAAGAATCATGTATGGTTTTCTTATTTTTCTCATGAATATAATTTGATGGAACATCGATCCAAGGCAAATAAATTAATCTCAAAAGGCCATCTTTAACAATATTGACTCTGGATAAACACAAATTAATGGCGCCCCATAACTATTGGCAAAAATGTAGGCGGCATATCAACATTTATATATAAAATGGAGAGTTGAAGAACTGAATAAATAAATGTTCCGAGTCTCGTGTATTGGCATTTGGCAGTAGCGTCTTAGTTAAATATATCTTGTAGGCACTAGGTACCTTATCCTTTGAAATTTTGGCCGCATACTAGAAAACGTTAGATGCCTTTGTTTCTCTATTTCTACCTTATCTTATTCAAAATACATATTTATTTCACTGTTTTTAAAATTTAATCTTATTTTATTTAACTTAAAATATTTAATTTTTTTTAATTCTTCAAGTTTATTAATTAAACTAAACACTCCTAACTAGTCGATCGTGCGCTATTCTGACAACTTTCGGCCACCATTCGACGGTAGTAGCTGATTGCCAACATTTAATAGGAAGGTGGGAGTGTTTTTATTAATTTTAAAACTTTTATTATAGGGGGTATTTAACTAAATTAACAAATATAAAGGATTAAAAAATAATCTTACCAAACATATTTTCAAATTCAAATATTATCCTCATAATAATAACAAAATTCAATTTTTTTTAAAATACTACTCAAAATAATAAAACAAACACATCATTATGGTTTCATTGACCTAAATCACAGTCACATGGCAGTCGACCTCTACACGAAATACTATAATGAAAATCATAATGGGTCTGTTTGGTTTAATATTTCACACTATCCTATTCATACTATTTCCAAAATATCAGTTTGTTTCCCTATTATGAAAATACTATTATATTTTCTTCAACTATTTTTAAACCCTTTAAGTTTATTAATTTAACTAAACACCCCCAGAAAAAAGCTTAAAAATTGACAAAAACACCCCCATCCACCCACATTTGCTAGATTCCGATCATATCACCGGAAGGTGGCCGGAATCTAATATAATGATGTACTACCAACTGGATCTGGCTGATAGTTGTTGGACCAGTCGTCACGGTCACAAAATTAAACCTAAATACCGCAGTTAGCGGTAAGCAGGGTCGAATCCATAGAGAGCAAGACTAATGACCTAGTATATATTTGAGTTAACGAAAGAGAAATTGACAAAATGATTGATTAAAACTAAGGAAACTAATTACTTGCAGGAAATTAAAAGCATTAAATAAATTGCTAACTAAAATACAATATTAAAAGCGTTGTCGCTGCGGGTTCGGTTTGACTCAAGACCAACTCTCACAATTCCTCTCCTCGCTCTTCAATTTCCTAATCCTACAAGGCTAGGCAAATCAATAGAATGGCTTCTGGCAAGCTAGGTATAATCTATCCTGTCTTCCCGTCGTTTTAGTTACAGATCGATTGGTTAAAGACTATCATCGACTAACCAAAAAACGCTAAACCCTTAAACACCACTAGTTGGTACAACGTTAACAAGCACAACCTATCAACCTGTATCATCCAATCAACTAATTACACAACAAATGCATTCCTAGTAGAAATGATATTAAACGCTACTACAACTTGATTGTAATCAGTACCGAAGCAATTTAAAGTCATAATCAACATTCAATAATCTCAAACCGACATTCAATTATGCGAAAAGTTATATATCAATAAACGTTCTCAATGGACATTATCAATTCAACACGTCTAGCATCAAAATAATATTAAAGCATCACAAACAAACTGAAACGAAAACAAATATAATCTGAATACAAGAAACTTAACCAAATGTCCAACATTCGGGCTCATCCAACTAGTCGAGAGCTGATAAGGAGATCAATGGAGTAAATCTCGATCTCGCCTACACCGTAACAGACAACCGGGAACTCAGCCGCTCATGGTGGTGATGACGGAGGCTGAAACAGTGGAAACGAAGCTGATCATGGCAAAGAGGAGGTAACCGACAGCGATATGATGTGAAGAAGGGGCGAAAATGACCCACTGACAGCCTGGAATACGAACAGCCGCACTCGCCGGAAAACGTTAATTTTCCGGCGGGTCTTCCGGAAGACGGTGGTGGAAATGGGATCTGAAGGTACCAATGGAAAGCTCTGGTGATGGGGAGTTCAGATCAGGTCCCAGGGAGGTGAGAAGTCGTCGGAAATGAGCAGGATCTGGGCTGGAAGATGAAGAGGCGCGATGGCAAAATCGTGGATTCCGACGGTTTTTGCGACGGCTGAAGCTTGGAAATGCTAGATCCAGCCGTGGGGAAGGGAGATCGACTCTTGGGGAGCTGAAACGTTGCCGAAAAACGACCAAATTTGGTCGGGAAGACGAAACGTCGCGGTGGGAAGATGAAGCTCACAGTGGCGTGCGTGTTTCACGGTGGTGATGAAGGGATGATGGTGACCGGAGCAAGGCGAAGCCGAAACGTCGCCGAAAAAGGAGATGAAGGGTCGTCGGAGCTTGATCGGAGAAGGTGAAGAGTTTTGGTGGGCGGCAGCCACCCAATCTACGAACTTGCACTAGAGTTTTATACAAATTTGGCAAATTTCCATTTGGTCCCTGCATAATTGAAACATGACAAAATCAGCCCCTTGAAACATGACATTTTACCCCCTGAACAGCATAAATGAGACAAAATCACCCCTAATCCATAAAACCTAATATCAACTCACACCATTTCCAAATTCATCCCAAATATGCTAAATTAGTAAGAAAAACTCAAAATATGATTTTTATACATAAATTCATAATTTCTCTTAATTGTCTCAATATAACTTCAATTCAATTACATATGGGATCTTTTTATCAACGAAATAGAGTCACTTTCATGACTCTAACAATAGTACGTCGATCTATCATTTTCCGGTCAGATCCACAGCTAAACGACTAGATCTTTAGCCGTAGCTGGTTGTCAACGATGGCCAAGATATGGCCGTCGTCGACGGCCAAACATGGCCGAATTTGGCCGTGAATCTGGCCTTTTTGATCTGGCTGGAATAGGCCATCTCGGTGTACGACTGGCTAGATCTAACCGGTCGTGCACCGATACGGCGACTCCAGCCACCCTCTGGCGATGGTAGTCGGCTGCCGAAATTTAATTGATGAGTGGGGGTGTTTTTATAATTTTTAATGTTTTTATTACAAGGGTGTTTAGTTATTTAATAAACATAAAGGTGTTTTCGTTAATTTTCAAATTTTATCTCGTTATTCTCACCCAACTCTAAAAATATCAAAGGGTGCGTTTGGCTTATTGTTTTTATCCATATTCCCAATCCTATTATTCAAATATTGTTTGGCACGTTATTCCCAAAATATTAGTCTATTTTTTAATTATTTTTAGACCCCATAAGTTTATTAATTTCATTAAATACCCCCCAGAAAAAAAGTTAAAAAACTAACAAAAACACCCCCACCCACCAATACTTGCCAGATTTCGGCAACCACCGCCGCTGGTAGCTGGAATCTGTCACAACAGTCACACGACCACGGGAAGTGGCCGATAATGGCCAGATCTAGCCGAAAAAGGCCAGATCTGGCCGTCAGCCACGACCATATCTTTGGCCGTTGCTAACGGCCAAAGATGGCCTTTTCTGGCCGCCGAAGGCCACATCCGGCCTTAGATCTAGCTTTTCAGGCCAGATCCGTGGTGGATATGGCCGGAAAAGGCCATATCGATCGAATACCCGACAGATCCGACCAGTATGAGTGGTTATCCAATTTTTTGGCTAGATTCCGATGGTGTTGGCCGGAATCTGGCACTGCAGGTGATAGGGGTATTTTTGTCATTTTACAATATTTTAATATATTGGGGTATTTATTAAATTAGCAAACCTTGGGGTCTTTTTCATAAATTTTTAAATTTTATCTCGTAATACTCCCCTATCCAACTATCTAATACTATCCTTAAAATCCTACCCAAAATAATAAACCAAATACACCCAAAAATATTATCCAAAATACTGAAACAAACACACCCAATCATTTTTATATAATATTATTCCGCAGTTCACCGGATAATTAACTCACAGTAGCTAACATTTCACGGAGAAACTTCCTGGCCACTCCAAGCCAGCTTGAAGACAACTCCATTGACTTAAACTAAGGTCAATTTTTATTTACGTAATAATTCTAAGGTGTATGCTTCAGGGTTATTCTAAAACTCTATATAAAGGGGCCACTTGTTGGCATAGTAAAGCCATAAACACTTCAAATCAACAATATTTGTCGCATATTTGCAATCATGGCAACAAAAGATTCAGCTTCATTGCTACTTCTTCCCCTCCTAGTATTGTCTCTAGTTGAGCTCTCTCTTGCTGGTGGCATCGCCATCTATTGGGGTCAAAACGGCAATGAGGGAACCCTCAACCAAACATGTAACTCTGGGTTATATTCTTTCGTAAACATAGCCTTCCTCAACAAATTTGGCGGTGGCCGAACTCCACGACTGGACCTCACTGGTCACTGCAACGCTGCTGCCGGAGGCTGCAAAATCGCTAGCGGTAGCATAAAGAATTGCCAAAACAAAGGAATTAAGGTGATGCTTTCCATTGGCGGTGGCCTTGGAGACTACTCGCTAACTTCTAAAACTGACGCTAAAAACACTGCAGCTTACTTGTGGAACAATTTCCTCGGTGGGAAATCAGCTAAACGACCATTAGGGAATGCTGTTTTAGATGGAATCGACTTTGACATTGAGCTCGGTTCAACTCGATTTTATGATGATCTTGCACGTTATCTGAAAGGATACAGCAAGCCAGGAAAGAAAGTTTACTTATCAGCAGCTCCTCAGTGTCCATTTCCTGATAGATACATGGGGAAAGCGCTCGACACAGGGCTTTTTGACTACGTTTGGGTGCAATTTTACAACAATGGACCGTGCCAATATAGTTCAACCGCTGGCACCAAGAACCTTATAGCTTCATGGAAGAAGTGGAATTCATCTTTAAAGGGGGGGAAACTATTTTTAGGGTTGCCGGCGGCTCGGAATGCGGCCGGAAGCGGGTATGTTCCTCCCAAGGTGCTGACTTCACAGATCCTTCCGGTGATAAAGAAGTATAAGAAGTATGGTGGGGTGATGCTTTGGTCCAAGTACTTTGACAAAATAACTGGCTATAGTTCCGCCATTAAGAAGAGTGTGTGAAGTGTTATCAATCAAGAATAAGTTGTTAATGTTGTTGTTTTAGTACGTGTTCTGTACTATCGAATAATGAAGAGATTGAAAATAATTACATTTACATCTCTTTGAATTTATTTTATATAAATAAATTTGAAAAGATGTGAATGTAACTAGTTTATTGCCAATAAAACCTAATGTATGCATGTTATATAATATATATTTGTCGTTTTATTCATTTTATGATGCCTTTATATAGATGTATATATTATCATACAATATTGTCAATTTGTCATATTTTATTCAGTAATATTAATCTGTTGACATATCAAGATCAAAATCATTCTTCATTAATAAAAGACGATGAGATGAATACAAAATTCATACGAAATCATATCTGAATCACGTTCTTAATAATTAAGAATAAACAAAATCCATGGTAAAATGTGTCTATATTTACTATATTCAAATCCAGTTAACCAGGGGCTAGCGGATATTGTAATCAGTTGTAAGAGCATACCACCGGGAAAGTCAGATACAACGACGGCGTTGCCCGATGCGGATAACTGGCGCCGTCGTTTTCATTTGTTTCCGACGCATAACAGCCAAGTTTTGAGATATATATAATATAGTAACGGATGGTTAGCGGGGCTCACTGTATTTGTCGGGTTACTAACAGTAACATCAGTTACGAATCAGCTGCCTCCGTGGAAAGTGTCGGCTGATGATGACAAGTTACTGCTGTTTCAGCTTCACGACAAAATTTACAGTGCGCAACTGTTATTGAAAGGCCTGTTCGCCTCGTATTTTCCGCAAGGCATCTAGTTCAAAATTTTGTCCGTAGGAACAAGAGATTATTGTGCATTAGTAAACTTTTTTTTTTTTTTTTTTTTGGTTTTAACTTAGTTACTACATTTATAAGGATGATTAGAGATCATATATCAACTAAACACACTCAAGTTAATGAGTTTATAAGAGTAAACAATCCTTCCTTTCAATAAGACGAGTGAAGAGTTAGACTCAAAAACTAACAAATAGTATCACACTTAACTCAATTTGAGTTGAGTGATTGACCAGATTGACCAGTCATAGATTATCAAACCACCTCTATTTTAAGTAGGGGAGAGTGTTAAAGATAGGTATACTCAAACACAATCAAGCCAATGGTTTCTAAGAGTCCCCAATCCTCACACTAAATAAAGAGTTAGGCCCAAAAAACCAATATTCACGTAGCCTTTTCTAGTGCCAGTAGTCGAAAGCTCAATCATCACGTCTGGAGCTAAATTTAGATTTATCTCTGATGCAGCGCACAATACCATATCCATATTATAATCTCAGTGTATGCAGTTACAACTTAATATTAATGCTTACATAAACGAAAATACACAAGTTTCCTTCGATTAAGCCTTTGGCTCTGTAACACATTATATATATGTTAAATTCATGAATGCCTCTATCTTGCTAGAAAGGGCATGTAGGAAGGCTTGTTGAAGTCCCTCGTCTTCATCGCCGCATCGTAACGGTTGTCTGGTGGCGTCTTCAAGTCGATCTCTGAATAATGCTTGTTGAATTCTAGTAGTATCAACGACATAATTAGCCTGATGTTCTCCGCTCAACATGCTGCAATGGAAAGACAGCCATCATGATGAGCACGCCTTTACTTGTGGAAGGATCGCTCACTTGGGGGGCAGGTGGGATCCTTCACTAGAAGAGTTACGGAAGACAATCAGGAAATTAAAAGTATTATCTGATCCAGGATCCATATGCAACGCCAACAACTCGGTGACGGCAACAGGTACTATAAACTAAAAATTAAAATAAAATAAAATAATATACATATTCCACAACGCTTACAATGGTGGCAAGAAGTGTGCGGCGAGGGAACCAGCACACATCTTAGTAAGCGCTGTGGTGGGGAAGGGGGTTAGCCCCCCATGCATGAACGGGAATACCCAAGTTTGGGATAAACATAAAAAGAAGAGACACACACAGCGCCTAATTGCACCACAAGTGTGACGGTGGTTATGGGTTCTTGTAAGCTACATGGTGGTGATAATATCAGCCTCTTATACGAAAGGTGTGAGAAATTAGAAAGAGAGGGCCTGGTTTTTGCAGTAATTGAGGGCTGGTTTTGGGTTTGCGCTATGTAATGTTTGGTAGTGGATTTGCTGGTGGGGGCAGCTGCCCAAGTTGGGGAAGTTTTTGTAGCACTGTGATGAAGTGGTCGCTCATCCCACTCAGCCATACAGCCTTGCGAAGGCTGAGATGTTGTTGCCGATTTAGAGAAGCAAGGGGGGGCATTTTATAGCCATGGTGGGGTGGCTCTTCCCCTTGCATGATCTCCATGTGCCATGGGATTCAAAGTAACGTCTATTATTGACCATGGAAAAGCTACCACCTTTCACTTTCTTGTTCATTGTAAGACAATTAATAAATTATTCACGTGGGTCAAGTGTGATTTTTGCGGTTACGGTCGTACTGATGACGGTGGTATGCAGCTGATTAAGTTGTCATTTTGTAAGATATATAACCCACACCACCAAGGTTATTTGTCCCTATGGGTTGAAATCTAACATAAAATGGTGAATTTGTGTTCGGATTTACTGTTCTCTGTTCTTGTTGTTTGTCTCCTCTTCTCTGCTTTATTCCCTTGGTCTTTGCAACTTTTACTTCGAATGGTGATCTCTTTTTGGGTTTTTGTTTTTCTCTATGCTTGGTGAAAATTACGCATGGACTTGTAAATGGCTATCGGTTGCAGCAACTACTAGGCATAAAGGACGGTGGACGACAGGAAGAATAATTTATTACGATTTTTTTTTTAATACTTTTTAGTTTATACTTATAGTTTATACTGCATATTTATTGAAGTGATACTCTGTTCAAGTAAACTGACCAGTTATTCTAATTGCTACTTTTTTATTAATCCCACTGAATTTTGTAGTGCAAAAGGCCCATAAAAAGCTTTAATTTATGAATGTCAGTTAAATAAAGGACCAAGAAACACATATTTGCCAAATCTTCGCAAAAGAAAAACCAACGAAAATAAATTAACAGCAATACAAACGGATAAAAACAGACTGAAACCCTGGAAGTATGTGTTGACAACAAACATATCAATCTAAAATCACATCTAACCCACAAGGCCATACTAACGGATTAAGCAGACTGGAACCCTGGAATTACTCTTCAAGCTGAAATTATGAGCCGCCTTTCTTCTAGTCTACACTTTGCGGACCTGAATATTGTGAGTCGATTGGAACCGCCAGATGGGTTGTCTGCCACTCTGAACAAGTGCTACCTCCTCTCCTTTCTTTACCATTCCTTGATTCTGCATTAGAAAGACATATCATACATGCTAACAGTTAAGACTGATCACTTCCATAACATGTATTTCGTTGAAGAAATCCATGAAAAGCTTCTTTAGAGAATTGCAACAATGGCCGGTGCTTTTGTTAGGAACATATTGAAAGTAATCACCACTTGTTTTCAGAGGAAAGTTTCTTTCTATAATGTCTTAATAATTTCTTGTTCTTTTTATTGTTATTCTATGATGAAAATTGTCCAACTTGATTTCTCCAAAAGAGTCACCCAGAGCTGGTTCAGGTTAAATTATAAAATAAATGATGAGCTAAATATGTGTATCTCAATCAAAAGCTAATTCAAAGGAATTCGGTGAGTGGACAATGAAAACTTACCTGCAGTAAACCCAAGGCATTTGAGAAGGTTTCTTCAGCATCATCAGAGAACTCCAAGTATATGGGGCATACTCCTTGATACAAAGACAACCTCTGTTGTATCCTCTTCCTGTATGGCCATCAAAGTCATAATAAGAATGAAGTGTCAAATTCATGTAAAAGGTCTATCAATGCTATCATTTTGATTGAAACGCTGCCACGCTGGGCATAAATTCTTGGGTTTAACAATGCTAATCAGTATTTAAGTTAGCATTTAGTTTCTATGTTTAAAGCTACTATCAGGTATTCAGAGTCATATAAAATAAAGTGATGACTGTAATGCCAGTATTTCCAGTATAAATAAAGCAGAAGAGTCCATTACAAGTGCCCAGTCCATGCCTACAGCATGTAAGCTTCACCACTCAAAAACCTCAAAACTCAGAAACAACATATGCACAACATAATAACAAATTTGGAACTCAAGAACAAATCAGACTTACTCATTTGTGAAGGCAAATATAGTGCCAGAGGGTCGATAATGGCTCAGTAATATAGCCATAAAACCAGTTCTAGTGAAGACAACAATTGAGGTTCCAAGTGTGTTAGACATCATTGTTGCATGGTATGCAAACATCTCACTCATGTGGTTCTACAAAAAAAAACAAGAAGCTTCCAGTTAAGTATCAGGGTTGACAATCAAAATGGAAAGGAAAAATAAAGGAAAACACAAACAAAAATCAACACAGGATCAAAAATAAATTAATTTATGTTAAAGTGACCTTAAATGCTTGGCCAAGATTAGGCGGCATAGCACCACTATTTATGGTTGCTTCAGTCCGTAAAGAAACAGTGTGCATAACTTTCACGGCTTTCAATGGAAACCTGCACAGAAGAAAATCACTTCATTAACCTGTCTAAAACTAAAATTTATTTACATCTACAGCAGCCACATCATGAAAAGATCAAAAAAAGCATTAATGATTGCAGATACTGCTAAATTTTTGCAACTCCAATAATTCTAACAGTGAAACCAAATTTTGATGTGCAAACATTTTCAGAGAAAATAAGAAGATGAGAGGTCAGATCATGCTCTAAACCATCTAATCGTATTCCTAGAACATTAATCTTCATATTAAAACCAAGAGTCACAACCATATCTGAAACCATTGAGAACCAAGGGAAACAATTTCACATTAAAGAATTAGTAAAATAATTTGCTTGGTTGTGTTTTATGGCAGGTCCCTTCAAATATGATTCCCAATTTGCATGATTGTCAGCAAAAGCGTCCTCCAGTAACTCTACTTAACAGTCCATAAAGTATTTTTTTCTAAAAAATAAAAAATAAAGAGTAACTTACTTCCCATGAGCAGTTTCACCAGAAAGCATGACAGCATCAGCACCCTCCCGAACAGCAATGGCAATGTCTGATA